TATTTCTGTCCTTCCTTATACACCAAATCACAAGTGATATCACATTATTGTAATCTTTGCCTACCAAAGCAGTTGTTTTGGAATGTAAGTACAGTTACAGCAAAATAAAAATGGAGATGAGATTGGATTATACGGAATAGCTGATTGTGAACAGGGCCTTAAGAATAAGTGTGGTATGGAATTTTGTATTTAATGGTTTTGTTAAAACCAGATCAGCAGAACACATTTCTATAGGCCATCTGCTAAGATTAAAGGTAGTTTTGAAATCTCTCATTCCCTTAACCATATATTTTCATTCCTGCCTGTCAAGATGAGGAGACAAAAGGAAAATGGATGGGGAATTCTAGAGCTAGAGTGGATCTTAAATACTGTCCAAACCCTTTGTTTACAGACGTGCTTCCCCCCAAGTGTTTTCATACCCCCCCCCCTTTTCCATAGCAGTTCTTGACTCTTAACTTACTTAACTATTTGGTGACATCATAGTTTCTCAAAATTGGGAAGATGCTTTGCACAGTATTTAGGATAGAGTTTACCTGGAAGACTTGGGGGGTTTTGTTTCATTTTTTTTAGTGTGGTGTAGAAGGTTTGAAGTGTTAGGTCTGGGGTTATGTATTGATCGGTAATTTGAATGAGCTGCTGGTTTGGGAGCAGATGACCTTGAGAGAGTTATATAGAGCATTTAGTAATGGAGAAGGTGAACAATTGAGGTTATATTAGTCACCTGCAGTGTCTCTTAGTCATTTGAGAAAAGCAAAAGGATATTGCTTTGAAGAACTTGGTTTCTATTAATAGAAATTAAATGGCAGGGCTGAGGGCTAAAAGGAGGACTTACTGCTCTTGAAGAGGACCAGCATCCACATGGCAGTTAATGACCACCTGTGTAGCGTTCCAGGGATCACATGCACTCTTCTGGCCTCCCCAGGCACCAGACAAAAATACACACACACACACACACACACATGCAAAGAAGCACTTATTTATATTTTAAAAAAATGAGGACTGGGGAGTATAGGTTATTGGTAGAGCACTTCCCTAAGAGTTTTTTGTTTTGTTTTTGTTTTGTTTTGTTTTGTTTTTTTTTTTTTTTTTGGCCTTGGATTCATTTCCCAATGACATTGAAGATTTTGTAGAGGAGAGTTGCTCAGTGATTATTTTGAGCCTTGCTGACCTTAGAAGGAAGCCACTGAATCAGTGTTCGGCACCACATGTGAAAGGAAACCTTCCATTGTAGTCAGAGTGATAGGGATTTAGGCAGGACACAAGCTTATCACTACCTTATATTTAAATTGAACAGAGAACAACAGATGACCATGCCACTGATTCATGATGAGGCACTGTTTCTGTTATTGCCTATTTGACTATTTTAAAGTATGAATGCTGGTTGAATAGGCTGAGTAGAACTGTGGTAACATCTATGGAGGTCCTTTTATTGGTTTGTTTGTTTACTTGCTTGCTTTTTTTTTTTTTCTTTTATAGTTAATAGCGGAGTTTTTGTTTGGTTGGTTTGATGGTTTTTTTTTTTTTTGTTTGTTTGTTTGTTTTTTAAGCAATCCTTCTGCCTCTCAGTGCTGTGGTTGTAGACATTGCACCAATCCTTGTTTTTGGAATCTTATTTTAAAAATCTGAAAAACAAGCTGGTTACATTTGTCATCATTATACCCTGCTAAGAGAAATTTCATGCTTGACTATTTGTTCCAAATTTTTTGACTGTCAGTATAAGTCAAACTCAATATAAAATGATAGGTAATAATGTAGGCTAATTAAAAATATAGGCATTTGAAAAGAAAATTATTTGCTAGCAGATAACCACAACTTGAAATGCAGATAGATAGGAAGCCACAGTAGTCACATTTCAGAAGAATAATTGCAAGAAAACTTGCACATGCCAAGTTAGCTTAAAAGGTACATGTGCCTATTTCTTCCAGTCTGTTTTGTCGCTTTTACAAGTTCTGTAGCTATCTACAGAAGAGGGTATAAAAAGAGGGTGTGTGTGGCAGTTTTCTGGGGTTCCAAGCCAGTTGTTGGAATCATGGGTGAAGAGAATGTTTATAGGGGAGCAACTTTAGCATAGTGTTGGTTTATTATTTCCAGGTACTAATTTTTGTCTTCCTAGTGGTAACATACAGTATCATTCAAGACTGACTCCTATATTTTTATGTGAAAATAATTAAAGTGTGATAGGATTTAATGACATTGTCAAGTGTCTTAGAAAATAGTGTTAACTATTTGCTAAGCTTAGATTATACATGCACAAATATATATGAATATATGCATATTCTCTCAAATATCTAAAAACGGAATTAAATACATTTGAGTATAAACAGTTTACATAAAACCCACGATGATTCCTCCAGTTAGATGAAACTAATATGTTCTATAAATTTGATTATTGGATCTTATTTCAAAATGAAACATACTTGTATATTCATGTAGAATATGAGCACACACAACCTTTTTTTTTACTAAAATTGGTGACATTGCTCAGATTTGCAATTTCATGTTTGTGCTATACTATCAAAACTAGCAATGCATGTAGGTTTTGTCAGTTCCTTCCTACCCAGTAATAAATCAGTTAACTTTAAAAGTGTGGTCATTTCTATAAAGTACACACTATTGAACTAATCAATATAGCCAGCTTATACAGAAACAAGCCACTCAAAGCATTTGTGTTTTGTAAAATGGAGATTGTATTTCACTGTAATAAAAGCTGATGTAAAATAAATGGTTGAGTGGATTAAATAATTTTAGTGTATCTTTTCAATGTTAGAATTATTTGAGATGGTAGACGGGATGTAGGGATGAGGTCTACAGTTGGGCTGCAATGCAGTTTGGCATACGTAAGTGGTATAAGTTAATATGCGCCCACACTGCTACATAAGTGAAACCTTTTCTCTATTTTGTGTCCATTGACACTTAACCACATCTAAGACTGAATTAGCCCACTGTTCTGTTCTGGACCACATTAGAACCTTGTAAATCAGCCTATGGTGTCCTAGGAGTATTAGTTTACACCACTACTGAGAAATGTCTAAAGTATTAAGGCATCATCAATACGAGTGTCTGCATACACTGATACGTTTCAGTCAAAATTCAAAATAGCAAAAGTCAGCTGTATTTATAGTTTGGGATTGACCTTCTTAGAGTCAATAGAGGATGTGTATTTGGTTTTATAACAGTGATCCTCATCTGTAAAAACTAAACCATCCACTTCTATTTTCATCTAAAGGTTCTACTGGTAGAACTTTTTCTGTTTTCATCTGCTTGTACTTCTGAGTAGTGTCATGCAGGAAACAGCTTTCTGTTATATCACATGTGCTCCTTGCTGAGCTACCCCTTTCACCTCTGGACTGACCTAGATACTCAGGAACACTACTCAAGTGATTGATCTGACAGGAAAACCTAACCAGCCATGTCCTTGCCTAGAATCAGATTGGCTCCCACTTCTGTATGTATCAAGTTGACATCCTGTAAGGTGTGGCTTCTGGCTGTTTTTCTTCACATTTCCTACTGAAGTGCTCCATATCCAGTTGTCCCATGCAGCACCATGCCTCTACCTTTCCCAAACATACTCCCCTTAGAACAGCCCTCCTCTTTCTTCACAGGCTGGCTCCTCCAAGTAAGTGTTCTCCAAGTAAGCCCATTGCTTCTCGGGATGGCATCCTGAGTGACATTAATCTCTTTGATCTTGTTTGTAGAACCAGTGCACATTACTGGGCTCTGTGGATGTGTGAGCATGGGTAGAACTAACTATACTGCCCATGTTTTGCTTGGTTAATAGGCAAGCACCTTAAACATTAAACTTGACAAACTGAGCTATAGAAAGCATCTTATGCCTGAGAACAGCATGGCCAGGAAGTGGTTGCATGTGTGTTCTTTCATCCTTCTTCAGGTGCCAATGTTGTTTATCCCACTAAGGGGAAGCATTGGATAACCAGGCTGTGCAAATTCTGTATCTTACAGGTTTCTTCAGAAAGAGAGCGTGTTGGCATTAAGACCCTTTGGTTGTATCAGAATTTTGTTTGGGTAAAAATTTCCCTCGGGAAAGTTGGTTTTTCTCTCTTTTCTCTCAAACTACGGGATTCAAAACTAAAATGTCACAATTACAAAATACTTGTGTATCTTCCTGATCTGATATTGCCATTTCTAAAGACAGCGTGTTTCCTTTATGTCTTACGTTAGCAAGCTATTCCTCAGCTGTAACTGCCAGGCAGCTCTACCAGGCCTGTTCTAGGAGAGTAACTGGCTGATAACTGGACCCCCCTGGCAGCCTGATATGTATGACAAAGACAAGACTATGGTGCTTCTTGCTCCGTGGCTCCATTGGAAACTGGACAGGAGTGTGAAGACAGTTCTTCCCTGTGTGTCTGATTTACCTTCCCGTGCCTTGCTCTTTACCCTAATGCTTTCTTCCTGGAAGGTGACTTAATGTAGTGTTGCCTCTTATTATCTCTTGTCATGGGAATTAGAGGTAATAATTTCACATGAAGTACCACTTTGAAGGTAGTAATGTTTGCTTTTAGGTATTCACCCAATTCTTTAACTTTGAAGTGGTTTGTTTGTTTGTTTGTTTAGGGGGTTGCCCTCTGGGCACATTTGCAAGACTGGGAATAATAGTGGAGATTAAGAACATTACCCTATGAACAATAGAACCATTGGGATGATTTCAATCATGATTTGATTAAAAGGAATTCAAGTATATGACAGATCTGGGACAAACTATAAATAACTTTCCATGTTTATTCCAAAAGTAGCTTTTAAAGACTTGCAAGAGGCTTTATTGGCAAAGCAAATAATAAAGGGGTAATAATTGTAGACTTAAACTACCCTTTCTGTACTTTTCACACCCAGTTGAGAGGTTCTGTTGCATTGTTTAGAATAATATCTCTCAGGTTGTATATAAAATACTTCGTGGTCCCTTGGCAAGAACATGCTTTAAATGTCTTTGGTTGTCAACACTCAAGTTAATTCTTGCTTGACAGTACCTGATGGATGAAGTAGTTTTACACCATGCCCAAGATGCGGGCAACCCACCAGCTACATGGCATTACAACTCTACAGGCGGAACGGCATCCTTGGTAATTATAAGGCCATGGGTAGTAGCCTCCCAGAGGCTCACAGATCTTCTGGCAGTGGGTGTAGCTCCGTCTGCATTCTATACAGCAGATTCCTTCGTGATCCAGTCTGGGGTCAAATGTCATGCTTTCTCCTTCTTGCTGCTGTGAGTTGAAAGACAATTATTTTATTCCTTCTAATCAGTATGCATAGTATTTAAAATAAGATTCAGAACAATCAGTTGTATGTTTTCAAATGTGTGCCACCACTCAGAATTCTTTCTGACATCAAGGAACCTTTGCCTACTTAGCCTGTCACCAGCAGAAAGTTGTGTGGTATTTTAATGAAGTTCCTCCATGCCTGTAAGGAGCTATGGTTGCCATCAGTAGTGACTCACTGTGTTTTAAATAAGAAAACAAAAAGGAAGTATTATGATCAAAAGGGGCATTCTGACTGCTGATTTTAAGTCAGTGGACACTGGTGTCTTCCTGTGGTGATGGCTCCCAGAGCTCTTGGGTACACAACTGATCTGGGGCCAGGCTGGGGTCAAATGTCATGCTTTCTCCTTCCTGCTGCTGTGAGTTGAAAGACAATTATTTTATTCCTTCTAATCAGTATGCATAGTATTTAAAATAAGATTCAGAACAATCAGTTGTATGTTTTCAAATGTGTGCCACCACTCAGAATTCTTTCTGACATCAAGGAACCTTTGCCAGTTCCAGAGCCGAGGCTGCCAGAGCACTTTTACTTTCTCCTGCCTGTATGTCAGCAGCAGAACAGAGATGCGGTCTTGTGGGGAAGAAGAAGCCTCTAGTGTTCCTAAACGACATCATATTGATGAAGTAGAATGCCACTGCTGGACAGATAGTGATACCAGAAGGGACCTCTGCTACATTTTATATCTGGTTTATCTTTTCAAGGATCTACAGGGTGGGTTTCTGTATGTTTTAAAATATGCATTGAATATACTGGCAAGATGCACCCCCCCCCTTTAACTTAGGGCATTGGTGGGGTTATATAGAGTCTTACACTTGCCCTGGTTAGTCTTGAACTCAGTTTGTTGCTCAAGTTGACCTTGATCTTGGAGCAGTCCTTGCTTCAACCTTTTGAATGTAAGAACTATAGTTATGAGCACCATAGTCATCCAAGTTCTTAGTTTTAAATTCTCTAATCTCAGCACCAGTCATGGAGGTAGTTGGCTCTGTCCTGTTAGTTGGTTTCTTGCTGCTTTTTAAGTCTAGTCAATGTGAGGAAAGTTAATTTTCTTGAAAGTGGGAAAAGCTTCATGGAGCATCACTATACTTGCTTATTCTGACAGCTGCTAACCTGTTGTCAAGTTTACTGGATTTTCTCTTCTGTAGTACTGGAAGGAGGATTTTGATGCAAATTTAAGGAAGGTTGAAGGTATTGTGACATTTTAGTCATAAATAGAAAGTATTTCTAAAAGGAATGGATGGCTACACACCTTCACTGCCATTGTCACACCTAACAATGAACAACCCCAAACACCATCTGAGGCATCTTTTCAGATACTATCTTCAGGATGCCTACCTTACTCCCTCAGACCATTCTTCATTCTTCAGACTGCTTTTCCTTATCTCCTGAGATAGGCTCATTTAGAACAAAGCAGATAGCTGGTTCATTGCAGCTCTGACTTCTCTGGGGTAGAGGTGTGGAAGTGTTAGGGGGTGTTTCCTCAGGAGGTTTCTGCAGAGGCTTAGGATGAACACATTGGGAGGAAGCTCCTGCTGTTGCTCCAGGGTTTCTCTTTAGAGGAGTGTGTGAAGGACAGACCTTGAGGAAAATGCTTGAGTATTTTTGCTTAAAGTTCAGCAGCATATGATAAAGGAAAAGGTTGACATAATTGGAGTTTTCAAGGGATGTGGATTACTGGAATCTGTAGCCAGGACAGACACGTCACATCCCTTCTGTAAAGTGCCTGATAGCTTCAGACCTTGAACAAATTCATCTAGCCCAGCTACCTGGGGAATAAGCTATATTAAATTTTGCTTGCCTATTTAGATTATATTTCTTGTTATTCTTTGAGCTTAGGGAATAAAGTACTGTGGTGTTCTGAATTTTCTGATAAGCCTTGGGTTATTTAGAGAATACCTTTTGCTCTAAATCCTTCTAAAATATGTTAGTCTAAAATGATAAACTAGAAAATGTTTGTAATATGTGAAGCGAGGGGGGTGGGTAATGATACAGACATATTTTAGTGCAGTGGTTCTCAACCTTCCTAATGCTCTGTCCCTGTAATATTGTTAACTCCTCATGTTAAGATGGCCCCAGCTATAAAGTTATTTTCATTATCACTTCATAAGTAATTTTGCTACAGTTGTGAATTGTAAATATTGGTGCTTTCCAATGGACTTAGGGATTCCCCAAAGAACTCTGACCTATAAGTTAAGAACTGCTGATTCAGTGTGTGAAAAGGTGTTCAACCTTACATGTAAATAAATAAGCAGAAGACATTACTTATACCACACTCAAGAGAGTGACAAAGGTTAAAAAGTTTGGTAGGACTGGAGAGAAGAGTCAGTGGTAGGGTTTATATTTAGGAAGCATTAGGTTTGGATTCAGTAGCCCCGAATTGCCATCCCTCATGTCCAGAAAAGTTTGGGAGGAAATGGGACCTTCCATTACCTCTCACAGACACATAGATGGTGTATTCCCTGGAAAAGAGTTTGGTAATCTCCAGTAAAACGTACAATCTGTATCTACATAGATGCATCAGAACTATGCTTTCTTTGGTGTTCATGCTAAGGACATACTTTCACCATAGAGAATATCTGCCCCACCTAGGTCACCTCATCTAGGTGCTGTACTGCAACAACATTAGCAGTAGTAGATGAGGGGGAGATACTGTATTCCCTCCAAAGCCTTATTAAGTTTCAGCACATGCCTATCTATCTATGATAGGGTACTGCTAACTGGATAGAAGCCATTTACTGAATGTGGTACAGTATCAGAGAGACAGAACACTTCCACTTCCCAAAACACTATATTCTAATTGGAAAGCAGGATGGAAGCTTTGTTCTGAAAAGGTGTGTTTTTCCCTGTATGCACTCCTGCAAATGAACTGGACACATAGTCGTCATTAATAAGCTGTTATGGGGAAGATGTCTGGGGTGGGAGGTTTTGGAAACTCAATTTCACTGCACATTTCTATTTTTTTTTTAAACGTGTGCTTATGTTATTTAAAAAGCTACAAATACTCTATTTTTGTTCTCTGCAAGGTGTAGTAAAGGTAAACAATAAGTATTTCTTAGAAGATTTAGGATTTTAACACATCAGTGCCATTAGCACAAATCTCAGTTTTCAGCTCTGTGTTGTCACCTGAGGGTGAGGGAGTCTGTCCCTTGTGTAGGATGCTCTGGTGCTGCTTTGAGGGCACACTCTTAGGAGCATTTTAAACCATCAGATTCCTGGTAGGATTTATTTTCATAGATTTTCCTTCTAACAAAACAACAATAAAACCAGCATCAGAATCATCTTTGAATATATGAATATATATCCATAGATGGATATATAGGAAACCTCACTTAGAAATAGACTTTTAGCATCACATTTAATACATTTGTCTGGGTGTGTCACGAAAACACTGGTACGCACATGGTAAGGATTGTCGGGATTGAAAGGTTCCTCGTCCTGAACGCTGGGCCTGGTTTCATTCTTCAGTCTTCTGGGGCCTGGGTTGCCTCGTGGTTCACTATGTGGTCTTCTTGTGGTAGAGGGGACAATGTTTCTCACTACTTCTCTTCTCTCTCTTTGGTTTTCTGCAAAATTTTCTGCAAGTTAATTCCTTAACATGAATAAGGCAATTAGATCTGCCTTTCAGAGTGACAACCACAGGTATGAGCTTCTTCTTCCATTTTATAAGACTGACTGGAGCAAACACTGGAAGTTGGTTGACAAACCTCTGTTCTCAGGCCCTGTTTTATTTTTCTCACTTCAGTATAGGAACTGAGCAAGTAAAATATTACTGATGTTCTCTGCCTGCTTTGCAGTGAGGAGTGGCCAGGCAAGCTATTTCTAACTCTAAGACAAAGCAGAATAGGTTAGTGCCAGGTGCGGGAAAGCTTTTACTTCCTTTTTTCATTCGTTTGTTTGTTTGTTTTAAGACAGGGTTTGTCTGTGGCTTTGGAGGCTGTCCTGGACCTAGCTCTTGTAGACCAGGCTGTTCTCAAACTCACTGAGACCCGCCTGCCTCCCCATTCTGAGTGCAGGATTAAAGGTGTGTGCCACCACCAGCCATCGGCCACCATCGCCTGGAGGCAGATTTTACTTCCTTGATTAAAAGGAACAGAAATTGTTGTTTCTTAGTGTTTTTCCTAGACATACGTGTGCTATCTGGAATTAGGAATTGACAAATAAACACAAGGGATAAGGTAGCATGCTACAGAGAGCAAAATGTTAAGGTAAAAGGAGACTTGATAGCCATGGAGTGGACACTAACGGCAAAATCCTTATATCTCATGTCTTTGGACTGTAAATATACAAAAGTGCTTATATGTTGAAACCACTGCTGATCAAGTATGCTATAACCTGCAGCTAGCTCTATGTACCCCTAATTGATTGTATAGATATAAAGTTTCACATTTTCAAATGAGACATTGTTTTGGTTAATTCTTTTTTTTTTTTTTTTTTTTTTTTTTTTTTTTTTTTTTTTTAATCCCATGGGCTAGAGAAATCAGATGTTTTTATGTATGAGGGCATCAAGGTGCAGACCAAGTGGCTGGCCAAGATCACAAACTGAGTGACAGTAAGGGCACAGTAGGAATCCTGACTTCCACCCCAGCTCTCTGTTTAGCCATCTCATCATAGTATCCTTCAGTGTAGCTGACGGGTGAGCAGCAGAGATTGAAAGTACCATATAGCATTTGCTGTAGAGGCTCCTTGGGCTTCAATTTCTTTGTCTAAAATGGAGCTAGTAGTATCTCATTCATAGGATAATGATAGGACTAATGAAAACTATCTAAGGGACTTGGCATATAATAGGCATACAAACGTTAGGTAGCATTCTTATAATTTGTTATTTATGAGAGCTAATAGGTAGATTCCATGAATGCAATGGTTGGAGAAGCACCAAGGAGACCCGAATCAGCTCACACTGCTCAGATAATTGAAGGACCTCAGGCAAATTAGTCTCTCTTTGTCTTAGAGTCTTTCTCTGGATCTTGGCAGTATGCACAGTTATATCTACAGCTGTTGGTAAAGGTTAAATGAGGGCCAAGTTTATTGCTCTAGGATGTTGGCTGTCCATTTCTGGCCTCTGTCTACCTACCATCCACTTTTGATTATCCCAGCTGTGTGACACTTATGACCTGTCTTCAACAGCCAATGTGCAGTTGGCAAGACTTTTACTAGGACCAGACAGGCAGTTGGACATCATAGGAGAGATTCTTTATCATAAAATATAGTTGCATTTATCACAGATTCGTGGGAAATTCATTTTAATGCCTATGATAATCATATACATATGCCAACATTTATTTAGTCCTTTGCTAATCTGAGGTATTTATAGTCTCCATTTGTGATATATATATATATGTGTGTGTGTGTGTGTGTGTGTGTGTGTGTGTGTGTGTGTGTGTGTATGTATGTATGTATGTATGTGCTGGGTACCAAATCAGGCAAGCACTCTATCACTGAGCTGTACCTCCAGTCCACACCTCCAGTAATTCTTGTATAGGTAGTGTAAACCAAGTATTTAAGATCTTATCATGTGTTTCTGTTAAGATGGTCAAGGGAACATCTTAGACATAGGTTAATAAGCTTGTTTCCAAGGGTGATAGCACTCATCTGCCATTTGTCTGGTTGCCACCCCTGCTTCCTGTCCCCTACAGCTTATCTTTTTTTTTTTTTTTTGCATGCACATATGCATGCATGTGTGTATGCATGTAGTGTATGTAGGTCAGAGGTTATTCTTGGGTGTTGTTCCTCAGGAGCCATCTACCTTGATATATATATATATATATATATATATATATATATATATATATATATTTTAAACTGGGACCTGAGGCTCAGCAATTAGCTTGCCTACTGACCACTGATTGCTGTCCACTAAGCTATCTTCCTAGCCCTGTATCATATAACTCTGAGACTGTTTTCTCTTGTGTTCACTGATGCATCTCACATCTAGGAGAAGTTACATGGCACAGGATAGGCCTTCATGAGTGTAGTTTTGAAAATTACACTCTGTAAATGAGTGAGTGAACTCCAGGTAGTTCTGAGGTTGCTCTGAGATCAGGAAGAAGCTTCATATGGTAGTAGTGTGGGCAACTCCAGTTCTTGAATGGAAAAGATAATGTTTGGGTGAGAATGCAAAAAAGGCCCAGCTAGATGACAGGAGTGGGGACTGAAAAGTGGCCATAGGGTTGGGATACAAGGACAGAGATGGCAGGAATGCCATAAGTGCTCTTGTGGCCTTGCTTCAGCTCTATGGTCTTGGCACATTGTTTCTTACTGAGGCCCCTGGCATCAGGTCCTTCTCAACCCTCTGCCAGGTGTGACACGCCATACTTGGTGTGGGCTGAGAGTAGCCATCTCTTTCAGACTTTGGAGCAAGATGAGACTTGTGAACAATAAGAATCAGTCATGATAGGATCAGAAATGTATACTTTCTATGCCTGGTAGGGGATTAGTTTTTGTGGCAGAGCAATTTAGCCACGGACAGGGTTATCATACAGCATGGGCTGGCCTCACCCACTGTGTAGCTGAGGATCGGCTTCACCTGATCAGCTTTCCTAATGCCACCAGGCCCAGCTCTCTTTGGTGAGTTTCAGCCATACAGGTCCGGGCATTAAGCACATTCACCACTGTTGCTGCTATCACCACCATCCACCCACAGAACTGCCTTTCTTTTTCTTTTTTTCCTTCCTTTTTTTTTTTTTTTTTTTTTTTTTTTTTTTTTAGGTGAGATGTTCTTTCCTCTCTAAATAGTGCATCACCTACCCTAATGGGTTTAATGCCTGCATTTTCTCCATTTCCTGATCGCCGGCTTCTAGTATTCAATAAGACCTTTCTGAAAGCAGCCTGTCTCATGTGTGCAAGGAGAAAGCCTCCCTTTCCACCTGAGCCACAACTACAAAGTTAGGGAGGCTGGTGTGCTCGCCACAGTGGAAATGAAGTGTGAGGCCCTTTGGGCCTCAGAGAAGAGTGAGGCCTGCTGGGTCTGCCCGCGCTTTGTCACTTGGACATGGGTCAAAGGTGTGGTGTGCTCCAGCCTCACACAGGAGGGCTCTGCACTTCTTTTCTCTGACTTTGGAAGCTGATGCTGGAGCCTTGAACTTGAGGAATCTCAGCCTATACCCACAGCAGCTTTTGGCTGTCCCATAATTCTAGGTTTGAATATAATAAAGCATCGGCAGCATGACAGCTTCTTAGTCCCCCGATGCTATGCTTTAAGAATAAAGAAATGTAAAATGGGAAGGCGCAAGCACCAGAGATTAAGGGGCAGAAGCAGGGGTGTCATAAATAAAGCCGCAGGCATGCAGAGATGCTCTGTCTTCTGCCCACTTCCAGCTAGCCCCGCGGTGCCTTCCCTTCAGCAGGCCAGGTCCACCCCGCCCCAACAATTGTCCCAAGTTACCAGGGGACAGTGGAGGGGGCTTCCAAGAACCAGAGAGACTGGGAGAATTCCAAGCCTTACTACAAAAACTTAAAACTTTACCTTTTGGATACATAGGCTTGAGCCAGAAAATGGGGAGGTTGCCGCAGAGGTCAAGGACTTTAGAACTCAGGAAGCTGTTGTCCTTCACAGGCTGGTCCATGGCCACCCAGATAAGAGAGTTCTCTTCATCTTTAACTGGCATGATCTTGCCTTCCTGTAAAAACAAAACACCTGTGAGCAGAGGATGCTGGCAGCTCATGCTTCTAAAGGGTTGCTTTGCTTTATGCAAACCCGGGAACAACTATGTGCGTGCACACACCATGACAACTCCGTGTGCACACACCATGACAACTCCGTGTGTGCACATACCATGACAGCTCTGTGTGCGCACATGCCATGACAACTATGTGTATGCACACACCATGACAACTCTGTGTGTACACATACCATGGCAACTCTGTGTGTGCACACACCATGACAGCTCTGTGTGTGCACACACCATGACAACTCTGCTTGTGCACACACCATGACAACTCTGTGTATGCACACACCATGGCAACTCTGTGTGTACACATACCATGACAGCTCTGCATGTGTACATACCATGACAGCTCTGTGTGTGCACACACCATGACAGCTCTGTGTGTGTACATACCATGACAGCTCTGTGTGTGCACACACCATGACAGCTCTGTGTGTGTACATACCATGACAACTCCTTGTGCACACACCATGACAACTCCATGTGCACACACCATGATAACTCTTGTGTGTACACACCATGACAGCTCTGTGTGCGCACATGCCATGACAACTATGTGTATGCACACACCATGACAACTCTGCGTGTACACATACCATGGCAACTCTGTGTGTGCACACACCATGACAGCTCTGTGTGTGCACACACCATGACAACTCTGCTTGTGCACACATCATGACAACTCTGTGTATGCACACACCATGGCAACTCTGTGTGTACACATACCATGACAGCTCTGCATGTGTACATACCGTGACAGCTCTGTGTGTGCACACACCATGACAACTCTGTGTGTGCACACACCATGACAGCTCTGTGTGTGTACATACCATGACAACTCCTTGTGCACACACCATGACAACTCCATGTGCACACACCATGACAACTCTGTGTGTACACACCATGACAGCTCTGTGTGTGCACACACCATGACAGCTCTGTGTATACACATACCATGATAACTCTGCGTGTACACATACCATGGCAACTCTGTGTGTGCACACACCATGACAGCTCTGTGGGTGCACTTACCATGCATGCACACTTTTAAGGCTCTAGTCTCTGGCTCTCATACCCAGCACACCCCAACACCCTACTTCTAGACAGCCCTGAAGTGTGAATAGAAGTGTTTTGAGTCGAAGTGAAAATTACTTGATACCAACTTTGAGATTTAGGTTAATCTGATGTTTTCGATCAAAGATGTTTTTGAGGAAAAGCAATTGAACAGACCCTGAAGTCCTATGAAGGATAGAGGAACTCTGCATTTGAAGTGAAAATCTTGTGGGGTTTTGTTCTGCGGCTTCCGAACAACAATGGAAAAAGCAAGTGATTGGTTCTTTAATGTCTCCAGTTCAAAGTATTGTTTAACATAAACCATTTCTCCATTTCCCAGCTATAACAAAACATTTCAGATGTTCCTCACATCAAGCACACCACTGAGATTTCAAAGGTAAGCCTTGGATTTCCTTCTACAGCGAGATGCTGAGGGTGGTTTGATAACCCAGGAGACAAATTTATTTTTGCCAGGTTGCTCCTTTCATGTATTTATTACCTTGCAGTAGGCTGGAGAAATTAAAATGTTTTCCCTCACTTTAGGCAAAAGCAACACTTCATTTGTGTTTCTCCCTCGGGCGTATGGTTGCATTAAGCAACTTAAAGTTATTGGAGGAAGGTAACACTCAGGTAATCCAGTTATTTACCTTAAATTAAATGGCTCCGTCCAGGCAAGGAATGCTCTTTGAGCACAGCAGCTTTTTAGAGTTATACGAAACTGTTGAAGAATTTATGAGAGCGAGTGGCACATAGTCTGATGGGTGTGGAGAGGAGGGCCCAAATACAGTAGTGTCTGTGGATGCAGCCTGTGTGCCAAGAATGCTGTCACTCTGGAGCATGGGGGCTACCCGTCCCCCCCTTTTTTCTTTGCAGTACAGTCATGCTTTTTGTCGGAGACATCGGTGTGCCCATTGTAAGGCGGAACACTCGCTGCTTCAAGCTTCCCAGTGGCCAAAGACAGGCATGAGGTCCATGAAATATGTCCTGTGGCTGTCAGTGAGAGGCCTATTTCTCCCTATTAAAGGTGAGTCGGGGGTCCATTGGCAGGGTTCAACTTTTAAGATGTACTTATTTACTTAGAGAGGGAGGGAGAGAGAATAGGCCGGAGGACAACCTTGAGTGTCATTTCCCGGGCACTTTCTTTCTGAGGCGGGCTCTTTCGCTGACTTGGAGCTAGCTCCTCATGGGCTAGACTAGCTGGCGAAGAATTCCCAGGGATCCCCCTGTCTCTGACTGCCAGTGCATGTGCTACACACAGTGACCCTGTAAGTTCTGGGGATTGAACACAGGGCCTCCTGCTTGTCCTGAGTAACTGTTGTTACTGAGCACACTCCCTGGTTCCTGCTTAAATCCTGGGAAGAAGTGGGAAGGAGGGCGTGCAGCATCACCACGCTTAGCGGTGGAAGGAGAGAAATGATAATAACGGGCTCACAGATGCTGCCCCCCAGCCAGTGTCTGCAGCTGCTGGCCTCCCATTCCCACCTGCTCAGGGTGCCCTAAATGGGGGCCCTGCTACTGACAGCTGTGAACATGGCTGCCTTGCCCAACTGTACTTCTGAATTGGTTTTCATCCACCAGAGGAGCCACCATGCATGCTACAAACAACAAAAGCACAAGACAATCCACTCTGGTCTAACAGTCAAGTTAGCAAAGATTAAAATGCAAAACTATTTGCCACACAGGGGTTAATAACTATTTTAAAATTCTATTATCTGAAATTGAGGGAACCTGAAATGTTTGACTGAAAGACTTTCAAATTATAACTGGGCATGGTGGCACACACCTTTAATCCCAGCACCTGGGAGGCAGAGGCAGGCAGATCTCTGAGTTCCAGGCCAACCTGATTTATATAATGAGTTCCAGGACAGCCAGGGTTACATACTGAGAACCTGTCTAAAAATAAAGGAAAAGAGAAAGAAAAAAGTATAATCATATGCTGGTTTATCATTCATTTGTTATAACCTACAATTTAGAACTAAAGTGAAAACAAGAATCATGTAATAGCCAATTACATTTCTGAAAAGATTATCAGACACAGGTCACAAAATTCGCCAAACTATTAACCTTAGTGGCATTTAGATTATACAGTTGTGTTATTCATCTCTATAGTTTCATGTATTTATCATGAGAAAAAAGTCATGAAAGACAATGAGATGGTTCAGTGGGTAGGGGCACTTGCTACCACATCTGACAACCTGAGTTCAATCCCCAGGACCCACACAGTAGAAGGCGAGAACCAACTTCCACAGGTTGTCCAGTGACCTCTTCCACACAAGCCGGCGTGCGCGCGCGCGCACACACACACACACACACACACACACACACACACACAGATATTAAGTTACATGCTACAAAGTTATAGTAGAGCTGGGTGATTTACAGCTGGGGCAGTTGGTTCTCGTGAAGGGCAAGAGAGACTGAGTTCATACCCACACATGGGGAAAGCAGCAATGGACAATGGAGTGGTGGGACTTCACTAACACAGGGCAATGGAGAGCCCACCCGCCTTTTCAGCTGCCATTTGTGAGTTGGTGCTGAGCACACACACGGCCTCTGACCCTGAGCAGTGCTGCTCACAGGGAGAGTGAATGGAGCGAGGGGTCTGCCCTCACCTCACAGGAAGAACACGGGGGTAGCTGGGTAGGGAAAGGAGAGGACATCCCGGCCGCTTTCACAGCCCACAGGTTGGTTTGTAGTTTGTGTTTTGTTCTGTTTTGAAACATCGCCTGCTGCTGCTCCCATGGGAACAAACAATTAAGTGGTTTCCAGGCAGCTTTGCCTTTATCCACGGTTTCCCTGCATGGCCCTCAGGGATCGGACGCTCCATTCACTTCCCTCTCTGGGATGCTGAAGGCTCAGAGAAGATCATAATAAAATTAGCAATTATGAGCAGCAGCCTTCCAATTCACCTGCTAGAAGAGTCCAAGGCCACGGCACAGTGTGTATGCAACAGTTTGAAGATGACAGAACCGCCACAGTCACAGCTGGGGTCAGAGCTGGGGTTTGGATCTACGGTTTTATGACTCCCAAGCCTGCCTCCTTCTACAACCCTTGCCTGCCACGGCTCAGATGGAAGACAGGCATGGGTGTGACTACTTTATAAGCCCTAAAAGTCTAAGATGGAAAACATTATTACTAAATGTGTTTTTAGGACACTATGCACTCTTTTTTTTTTTTTTTTTTTTTTTTTAAGGTGATTTATTTTATATACAGTGCCCTTCTTGCATGCATGCCTGCAGGCCAGAAGAGGGCACCAGATCTCATTACAGATGGTTGTGAGCCACCATATGGTTGCTAGGAATTGAACTCAGTTCTCTCAACCTCTGAGCTATCTCTCCAGCCCAATACTATGCAACTCTTAAAGTAAAATCAAAATCCATCCATCCATCCATCCGGTTTAGGCCTGAGGTTTAGCTTGTGCAATGACTACCTAGTGTGTGTGAGGCCTTAGGTTCAATTGCCAGTAATATGAAACCAACAAAACACCGAGCTTAAAGGCAAGCCACAAGTAACAAATGGAAGAATTATGTTTTTAAAATGGGTCGAGTGTGAGGACAGCCTGGGCTATATAGTGAGTTCTATTTTAGCCTAAGCTTTCAAGACCAACCTGTGTAACTTAGTGAGACTCTGTATCTGTTTTTTAAAAATAAATAAATAAATAAATAAATAAATAAATAAATAAATAAATAAATAATGTGGATATAGCTTAGTGCTTGCCCTGCTGGCAAGGCCTTTGACTCAGTTCCCTTGCTTTAAAAACTAAAGAGGTTTGCGTGGCTTCATTAAGCTTACTTGAACCAAAGGGAAGATCTATAGGGGAACATCTCAGGCCAGTGTTGGAGGATATCCACAGGAAGAGGGCTCTGCCCCAGCTTCCTGGAAGAGGCTGGGTGACTAGCTATCCAGACTATTTGGGGAAGAATTGCCACATTTCATAACACCGAGACTGCAGAGCATCTTGAAGTCCCTTTAATAAAGGTTTAACTGTGGACTTTCAAAAAAATCTTTATTTTGAACTCTTTTTGTTTTTGAGACAGGGTTTCCCTGTGTAGACTAGCTATCCTGGAACTCACTTTGTAGACCAGGCTGGTCTTGAACTCATAGAGATCCACCTGCATCTGCCTTCTGAGTGCTGGGATTAAAGGTGTATGATATCACCACCTTGCTGTTTTGAACTTCTAATCACTGGTCTGATAGTCATTTAACATTGGATGTATAAAGGCCATCTGAATACCAAGCCCCTAACACACTTAAACATTTTTATCTTTATTTATTTGTGTGTGTAAGAGAAAGAGAGAGAGAGAGAGAGAGAGAGAGTGTGTGTGTGTGTGTGTGTGTGTGTGAGTATGTGTGGCCACAGCACAGAGGTGCAAGCTGGAAAACAACTTGAAGGAGCTGGTTTGTGCATTCTACCACGTGGGTTCTAGAAATCCAACTCGGGTTGTCAGGCTTGGCAGCAAATGCCTTTATTCACTGAGCTGCCCTACCTAATGCACTTTGGAACACAGTTTCCCAAAACTTCTAAATATGCTGCACCATGCCAGAAAGATCACTTGGATCCAGCAGGACAGATACATTCTTCTGGTAGAGAAGAATTTAAGAACTTGTCATGAACCTGCCCAGGGAGAAGGTGGAGAAGGTGTCCACCTGCTGTGTGTGATGCTACCTACCAGTTCTGAAGAGATGCTTTGCTTGGTCGCAGTGCCCACCTCAGGGACACGAGCCTTCACCTGTGCTTTGATGTAGCACTTCTCTCCTCCAGCAAAACGGATTCCGGTGATGCCCTATGAGATAAGAGTTTACTTGTCCATCCACTTACTCACTCAATCCTCTATACCAGGGATTCCAGGTATTGGATATAGGGATAAGCATAAGATAAAATCCTGGCTCTCCTGGAATTTACCAACATTGTTTTCCAATAAGAAGAAAATACCAATTCAGATAGAAATAAGGCTTGTAGCGAAAAACTAAGGCTGACGCAGAGGTTAGGAAAGGCAGGGGAGGATAATTTAGAAGTGCACTCAGAAGAGGGCATGGTGAGGGTGATATCTGACCCAGAGGCTCATGTTAGGTGCCCCTGCTGCGTAACTGGAAGCTCACACGGACTGCTGCTCTAGTCACGCAGCCTTTTCTGAGCTTGTGGCCTAGATGAGTTCTCCATCTCTTTTACTAAGCCTTGTCTTTCATTTGTCACTTGATCCACAGTTCTCAGTCATAAACTTCTTGAGTTCAGTGTACATTGTGTGCTTGTGTGCGTGCATGCATGTGTGAGTCTCTGTGGTCCTGCAAAGCCTCTCATAAGATGTTGGTCAAATTAATGAATTCCCTCAATTCCTAGCTTTCCCTAGTTACTGAGTCTGAAGTAAACAGAAAGGCTTTGTACAGCACTAGGAGGTAACCCTTTGTTTTGTCCCCTCTGAGATATAAACAGTGTCTCCTCCTGGCTGGGGACCAGCCCTAAGGGAATTCGGCACAAAGCTCCCTCTAAGTTGACAGCTGGGTGCTGCTTTTGCCTGAAGAGGCCGTGAGAAGTAACTGCACATTCTGTCCCAGGAGTTTTCCCTTTGATTCTGCTGATGTCATTTCATGAGGAATAAATGATCTAAATACTCTTAATGGCCCGAAGTTTTATGCTTTATAATGTAGGCTCCACCACAGGTCTGACCCTTGATGACCTGTTGTGCTGAGATCAGTGTAGCACAAGCCGGTCCTGGCTGAGTCACTGTTAAGGCATGGGGGAAGAAAAGAGCACAAACCCCAAGCTGTGGCTCAAGCTTCTTAGGTGGAGAATGGAGTTAACCATAAGCCATGCTGGGAGAGCACCACAGGAATCTACCTTACTCTCATCCAGGACCTGGAACCCACAGAGACCAGCAGGTGACAGAGCAGAGGAAGGAAGATGGATCATCCTGTGATGGGAGATGTCATTCTGTAAATATGTTTCTCATACTGGTTAATGAATAAAGCACTGTTGGCCAATAGGAAAGCAAGATAGGTGGGACTAGGAGACAAGGAGGATTCGAGGAAGTAGTAAAGAGGAGCCAAGATGGAGAGACGGGGGGGGGGGGGGGGGGGGGGGGCAGACTCTCCGGTAAGATGAGACCACGTGGAAATACTTAGACTAATAGAAATGGGTTAATACTTAAGACAGCTAGCCAATAAGAAACAAGTAACTGGCCAACAGAATTATATCTAATACAGCGTCTCTCTGTGTGTTATTTGGGGCTGGCGCTGGTGTGAGACCAGGCAGAGGGGAGGAAAAACCACTCATAACAATCCTGCGGGCCCGTTGTTTGCCTTGAGGCCTGCTTGCTCATACTGTGTAACCCTGTCTGTCACCTTGCCTCTCCTGGCCCAGCTCCCCCACACAGCAGAGAGATGGTCTGACTACTGCACTCTGCTTTGGGCACCCATACCCCCTGGCGAGATTCTAAGAATGTAGTTGACAAAACCAGGCTTGGTTGTACAGCACTGGGGGATGTGGGGGCAGAAGGATCAAAAGTTCCAGGTCACCCTTGGTTGTATAGCAAGCCAGACTGAGGTATATGGGATCTTGTCGAAACAAACAAGCAAAACCAACCAAAAAACAGAACCCAGCTGCCAGGCCCTCCCGAAATATTCTTGCATTGATAATGTGGTGCTCAGTGTCTTGAGTATTCTTAAACTACCCAGATGTCCACGATGGACAGACAGCTAGACTTAAGGCCCAGCCATTGAGGGCAGAGGAAACTGGTTCAGAGTAAAATTTAAAAGACTGTAATGTCTTTCAGGCCAAGTTTCGTCTGTACCTGGGGCCCATAAACATTTGTTTGCATCAGAGTCACTGGGATGAAGCCCAGAGGCCTGGGTCCCAAGCCCAGGGTGAGGACTTGCGATTCACAATGTCTTAAGTTTGTATTTTCAGTAAGCTCTTGGAGGCTGACCAGTTGGTACCTTAAGGAATGCACTGGTAACTGCTATACTACTTCCCAAAGTCCTATGGCTCTTACTCTCCTAGTAAATCTAGAACTTGTAGCTTAAAAGTCAAGGGAGGGAGAGCAGTCACTGCTTCCCTGTGTGGTAGGTTTTCTAGTTCCAGACACACGAGCTGTATTGGGAGGACATCATACATCATTCCAGTACCCCCAGAGAGAGCAGAGTCTACTGCAGATCAACCATGCTGAGAGTGGACCTCGTACCGAGTTAATTCTGTCAGCCCCCACACTGCAGATGATGCTGACAGTCCATGGGGAGATGAATTCACACTTAACCATCGTGTCTAGCTGCAAATCCACACAAGTGGCCAGATATATTGAGCGATTAAACAGATGGAGCAGTACAAGAAAGCCAGGCAAACCTCCCGTGTTAGCAAACAAACAGGGCCTTAGGAGCCAGTGATAATGAGGAAATTTGCTAACAAAGGCAACTAGTGAAGGTTAAAAAAAGAAAGAGCAATACTGGTCATCAAAAGGAGTCCCGTGATATCGCCTGGCTGGTGTTCCATCTGTGACCCCTAGAGGGCCTCAAAGAGGGAAGGGCCTCCTGCCTCCAGCAGGCATTTTAGAAATCTTTACAAGAGTCTGATACAAAGACTGGGGTGTTCTGGCCTTTTTGGGTTGCCCAGAGCCCTGGAATACTGAAGAATCAAGTGTTCTGGGTCCTAGGAAACAAATCTGTTTGTAGGTATCTGTCTGGCACAGAACACCATTTTTGTTTTACCTATCAACATCCAGCAACTGAGCGCAGCTCACAGCACAGTGAATTTCCTACATTCAATTACTTAGAAACAAAAATAAATTAGTTTTTGTCTTATTTTTGAGACAGAATCTCAGGTTTATCTCAAACTCACAATCCTATTTCAGCTTCCCAAGTGCTGGGGTCCTGGGCATGCTCAGCCATGCCTATCAAGAGATTGGTACTGATGCCAACTGTCAGAAAATCACATAACATTTAATTGTCAGAGCACACTTGTGACCATCTGCATTGCAGGTGTGATGCTGGCAGTCTCTGAACGACCTGTGCATGCACTGGACTTTGCTAATGCCAGACAATGCACCAGGCTGAGCATGCACATATGAAATCCACATTTCACTATGAATTACCTTCATTTTATTATTCCTTTACATTACAGTTGAGGGTTATATTGATTTTTTGAAATCAATAACCTACCTACCTCCTAGCTAGGTTATACTGTCTTTTTTTCCCCTCTAGCTTTTTAAATCACAGATTTCAAATATCCACATATTAAAAGACTTGTTTTCTGAAAAACCAGAATACCAATATGCGCTCATCACTACTGTCTATTTTTAGCTTTGACACATAGCTTTTGTTACTGGTTCCAGGTCTGAGGAATTTGGCTTTAGCCAACAGCATGGATACTTTCAGAATGTAAATCATGAACTGTGAATCAACTCAGTCGTGTGTGTGTGTGTGTGTTTCTCCCCCCCCCCCTTGGTGTTCCTCTCTCTTAAGGTGTCTGTTCTGTGTTGGGCTCTGTTGAAATGCAGTTCACAATCTAACCCTGCTTGCATCTCCATCAATCTCCAGTCCCATCCTTGAGCTGGATGGGAACTGTGAATCCTTTTGTAGTATCCTTTCCAGTCCTCCCTGTTAAAGTTCAAGCCGTTTTTCAAAAGGGTTGGGGCTATATCTCAGTGGTAGAGTGCTAGCCTAGTGCAAGAAAGACCCTTGGTCCAGTTCCCAGCCCTGCAAATCATTCCTCAGGACATTATTCAATTATTATGTCATCACCTCTGCTAAACCTGTGCAAGGCCACTAATTGGCAGCGATGCCTTTGTGTGTGGAGCACACTCTGCTCATAGCTCATCCTGGCACATTTCTGGGCATGTGTCTTTCTTTTAGACTGGACCAGAAGGTCCTTGAAGGATAAATGTCAGTCATCTTCCATTCCTTGCACCTAGCACCATCCCCACATTTGGTGAGCCTCAATCAACACTTTCTCCCATTTGACTGATGGTTTAAAATACAGGCAAAAGTAATAGCAGATGACCACAAGGCTGATTCATGTCTTTTCAAAAGTCCAGGCTTGTTGAAACCCATAACAGGTACTATCCATCAAAAAATGTTCCACTCACCAGTTCTGACTGAGAGAAATGTAGAAGCTATCAAAGAGAATTGATCAGTTTATAAAATATTTGTGGCCCTCTTGGTCTATGAGAACAAAACACAATCAATACCATTATTAGAAAGAACCAAGGGATTATAAAACAGATATATGGGTTTGGGATTAAAATATTTTCAGAGGATATTCTTGATACATGAACCTCTCAAGAATGAGGGCCTTTTGTAATTCATCCTCAACTCCTCTTGCATATTTTGATATTGTGGCACATCATAGGTATTCAGTTTTGTTCTGGATTGAATGATGTGTGTGGAGAAGCCACATTTTATTGGTTTATATTGAGTAGTGGAGAGAAAAAATGTTTGCCCTGTCCTGGGTTTTGCAGTAAAAACATTTAATAGGTCCAGGAGAATTATACTTGTGCACAGACCAGAACCATTTGCAATATGATGACCGAACAAAGTGCAGCTGGGCACACTCAGAGCTGCAGAGCCTGTCCCCAGGGCAGGCTCTCTGTGAACACAGCCAGTCCCCATCAACATCAGTGTTCAGCATCTCTGAGCACTAATGCTAGCATCTGCTGGGAATTCAAAAGGACCTGTGAAGCGTGTTTTGGCTCCCACAAGAGGAGTGCTTCCGTGTAAATGAAAAGCTTTCATTTTTCCCATCAATCAGAGGAAGATGGGTTGATGAGATGTTTGTAGACCCATAAACTATCCGAAGAAACATTATTTTCAAGAGCCCTCCTTCATTATGAAGTTTCACCTACTTCGTCTGCAGATTTAACAGAAGAACCCAAATACCGATGCTTCTTTCTCATCAAAGAATATCAGAGAATAAGATTTTGTCAGCTGACTGGAAATTTAGCCCGAGTGACACTTCTGTTAACAAATGCACACTCAAGCATCAACGAATACTCTAGTATCTCGGGTTGTCTATAAATTAAATTTTGGTCAAAACAAAAAGGGGGCTGAAATGCCTCTGTTGTAGTAGGCCATGCCAGAAAACCGGGGCTGTAATAGGTGATCCACCCATGCTTATTTTCTGGATTAAACGGGAAATTAGGAAAATATGAAAGTTGCCAGAAAACTACTCAGTCATTAAAATGTTTCTATTCTCTAGAAGTCTAGAGTTTTGTTCTTGCTGTCCTTGAATACTATTTGAGCATTTTATGTGTCGCCTGGAATGGTATAGTTCTTACAAGTCTTGTGCAATTCCAAGAAGAGCCTGTTGTTGTCAATGCCATATTTTTCTATTGAAAAGGGAAAGCTTTCTTTTGATTTCTAAGTCCATATATCTTTTATGTTCTAGAAATAAATTCATTTTCAAACAGTTATTTAAGGACATGATCTGAATTAGGGTCTCCTGCACTCAAAGAGGTTTTGTTGTTTTGTATACCCTCCCACGTCTCTCTTCCTTTTGAGCACAGGGAAGACAAAGCAAGGGCTTTTCTCAGGGACCGTAAGCTACATAGTGCGGGTGTGTTGATGGCATCATCGGTACTGTAAGGAACTGCTGGTACACATGGGAGACAGTGCTTCTCCTCAGACTGGAAAGGCCAGGGCTTGCCAGTTACACTCCGTAAGTGCGTGAAATGTACTTACGTTCTGGAAATCATTAATTTCAATCGCTTCTTCAGCTCCACTTCCCATTTTAAAGGTCTCCAAGTTGTTCCCAGCATCTATTTCCATTGACCCATCTTGTAATTTCCCATTGATACTCATGGTGTAATGAACATTGTAAATCTAGAAGGGAACATAAGAGTCAGTGATGCTTTCTTTCTTCCCAGCAATTTGGGTCTTCTCTTTAGACCGGCTATATATGAGGTGGGTTTCATTAAAGCACCATTAATAGTAATACATTTGTATTTTAGAACTTCATCCTCACCCCTGTCAATACAGTGATTTCTTGTGTGTGTGTACATATGTTTGTAGGTATATACATATTTGTGCACGTGGGTGAATTCATGAATAACCCTCTCGTGTGTGTGTGTGTGTGTGTGTGTGTGTGTGTAGTCAGAGGTTAATGTCAGGTGACTTCCTTAGTCACTAACCACTTTACTTTTTTAAGACACTGTGTCTCATTGAACCTAGGACTGACCAATTCAACTAGACTGGCTGGCCAGCAAGCCTGTCTTGGCCTCCTCAGTGATAGGATTACTATGTGGGTTCTGGGAGACCAAATTCAGTTCCTCAAGTTTGCACGGCCAACACTTTACCAAAGAAGCCATCAACCCAGCCTGACTATTTTTAAATGATTTCTAAGTAAAATTTGATAGCTATTTGAACAGCTTCGAGACTCGGATCTTGGCTACAAACCAGAAGCAGTTAAATAGATGCACCAGGTACCATATCTGGACCAATTAGATCAAAGCCTGTGCAAAAGGGGGGTGAACAACAGCATTTGATTTCCTAAAGTCTATTTGCACCTGGACGGAGAACCACCCATGGAGAGATGGGGAGGTTTTCAGCTGAGAAAGTGGCATCTCTGTTTGAAGATTGATTTTTAAAGTTCATTGGTCAAAGTGAGATGCGTGGAATAGCATATGGTAAGGATTTCAGACAGGCCTGGGATATGTCTTATACACAACAGCACTTGGAAGGCAGAAGCAGGCAGATCTCTGTGAGTTCAAAGCCAGCCTATTATACATAGCAAACTCCAGGATAGCCAGGGCTACATAGAAAGACTATCTCTCAAAACAACAACAACAACATTTTATCACTAAATTAGATGACCCAAATGGGCTTTTTTTGGTTTATACAGCTTATCACTACGATAGCTTAAAAAGAACTCACATACTGTCCTGTCCAGCATGCTGCTTTCCTGTTAGACCTTCCTGTATGTGATGGGCTGAAGGCTGGGTTTCTCTTCTTTCTTTCCTTTTAGGACTCTAGGGATCTATGTGTCTTCGTCTGTCTAACAAAGTATACTCATGCACATATACATATGTGCAAGTCTTCGAAGGAAAAAGGCTGAGAACTGACGAAAGATGATTCCTACCTTGTGCCAGGCCAGCCAGTTAGAACTGTAGATAGCTGAGATTCTAATCAAGTCTGATTTTTCTCCCGCATTAGGAAGAGTGACTACTACGTGTATAAACACCAGAAAACGTAGTTGTTGTTACTGGGTCATTACTTAGAGAAAACCCATTATCTTTAGACCCACAGAGCACTATTTTATCATCAGAGATGCCGAGATGAATTTGGCACGCACTCTTCCTCCCAGGCAGCCATCTTCATTTAGTAAGTGAAAAAATACCAGCACCATCTTGGCATGGCTATCTGTCATCCCTGCCCGACTTGTCTCTTCTCGGGAACTCAGATGCCTGCAGTTCCCTACACTGCCCTGACAGGGGGGGGGGAGGGGGGATTTGTAGGACTCTGCATTAGCAAAGATAGAACAGAGCCCAGCAGCCTGTTTTGCCTTCTTCCCCAGGAGCAGCCCACTCAGGGAAGCCTGGTTTTTGTTTTTTGTTTTTGGCAGAACCAGGCCTTTCTGCAGGCCAGCTGAGGAAACAGTCTGCCCTGCCCTGGGTGCTCAGAGCAGCCATTGTGCACAGGGTTAGTCATGGCCATCATAGGAACCTGGCCTGTGAGTTCTCCCTGGCACAAGTGTCCCCCACTCAGGTGGCAACAAATGAAAGCAGTGTAACATCTAAGAACTTAACCATTTAGCAATCTGTGTTAGTTGGATCCTCCTTCCCTCCCTTTCTCATTCTCCTTCCCCTCTTCCTTCCCCTCTTCTCCCAACTCCCCACCGAGTCTCAATGTGTAGACTAAGTTGGCCATGAGTCTGGCTTTGATCCTTCCAATCCTAAATTCACTTTCCATCACTTCCACAGCAAAGGTACCCTGGCCTCAGCATGCATCCTTTGGATATAGAGTTGGCTTGTCTTGCATGCTCATCCTGGTGGCTGCAGGAAAAGTCTGTGCCCTCTTGAAGTGATCAGGGCAGGTGTAGGGGTGGGTGGAAGGCACCCTGCAGTTTCCAAAGTTCTGGGCCCTGAGCTGGGCAGGAAGCTGAGTTGCTGGAGCAGCAATTACATGATCTGCTCTAAGCCCAGGGAGCCATTGGCACCTAAGGCTATTTCTCGCCAAGTACAATGAAGTTTATTTTTTGCCAAAATTCTGCTCAATATGGTGCCTTTTACAGCCAAGGATATTTGCTAATGAGTTTTTAATAAGGCCTCGGTTCTATAAGATTAATTACATAATGTTTGGGAAAATGTCTAGAAAAAATTAATCTAAGAAAAAGGCCCCAAGCAACGGTCTCCTCCCCTCACTGAATGGGTAGAGTTGTCAGTTATCTGGCGCTGATGGGAATTTCCCATATTTCAATGCCTTGTTCCATTTACAACATCGTGGATGAAAAATGGCCTCAATATTTGAGCTCAGTCAGTGATCCCCTCATTATTAGTACCCCTTGCTTGGTAGCCCTTCAGCTAAATTTGAGCAGGCCTGTCCTTGGGGATTGAGTCATGTGAAATGGAGAGGCGTGAACTTCACAGGTGTTCTCCTTTGTAAGCTGTGGGCAGAGGCTGGGAGACTCAGACAAGCAGGTATCCCTTAACTTGTTGACTGTGTCTGTTTGATGGAGACTTACCTTTTTTGACTCTGCTGTGCTTGGGTGATTTAGAATTATATTCAGAGAAAGCAGACCCATGCATGCGCGTGTGCACAGCATAGACAGTATCAAATGTTCTCTATTCCAAATCTTGCGATTTGTTTTCCAGACTTAAATATTATGGAACAGCATTAGACATTTTTTTCCCCCAGGGGGGAAAATGAGAATTGCTGTATGACTTCTTCGTTCTCCTGTCTGTGTAGGAAATAGCAATAACGGTGACTGTTGGCAATAAAATGTGATTCACTATTCCTCTGTATTCTTAGAATTTAGTACTGGTCTCTTGAACCAACAACCAAACATCTTGCGGTAAAATGAAAGGTATGGGGAAAGGAAGCCGGCTTCCTCAGTGTGGCGGCTCATTTTCTCTAAGAAGCTTGCTCCAGCCATGTTTGTCTTGAGTACTTAAATGCCAAATGGTAATACTTTCATGGCCAAAATATTTACCAGAAACCTTACAAAGCAAAGCTATTTTGGTCTCCAAATGACTTCCATCGTCAAGATTTTGTTCTCTAAGAGATAGTATTTATATTCTAACACCATCAAATTTCCCAAAGGGTGACAATCTCGACCCTGCTGCCAGTGGGGATGTAGACACTGAAATCATTTTCATGTTCAGATTCTCTGCTTTCATATGTGAGCATCTGGCCCAGCGTCTATATTTAAAATACAAATACATTAAGGCACTTTTCCAAGCCACGCAAAATACAGCACAATTCTGATCTTACAAATTGATGCTTGTAAATTTGATATAGTCTCTCAAACAGACTCAGTGCTAAATGGCATGCTTATCTACATTAGGCATTTGAGTTAAAAATACAAATTATGCAGTGACTGCAGAAGATGTGATGTGTAAAATGGTTGAATTGCTTTCAGCACCATTTTCTCTAAGTACTGGGATTCACTCATGCTTTGAATTTCATGGGTAGAGAAGGGAGAAGGCAGCAGCCAGCGATCCTGGGAGGGCAGTGATTAAGAAAGAGCCCTTTGTGTGCACCCTGGAGATGGAATTCTTTTCCATTAGTCGAAATAAGCTTATACCTGGTGTGGCAATGGTCACCAAGATAAAATGCCCCCCTTTACATAGTGGACACAGTCGGGTATTTAGAGAACATACTGGAGCTCAGCCCAGTCCAGACAGAAGCACTTTTTATACTTCTTGAGAGAGTCCAACCAGCTTAAAAATAAACGAGTAGATAAAGATAGGATAGTAGTTAGCGAGACACTTGCCATTAAACCACAGGTGACCAGGCGGATTCTTAAAAGAGATTTGTCACCTCTAAGGAAGTCAGACTTTCTGTTTTAGTAAAGAGAAGGGAGTATGCATAAATAGGTCATGCACACAGAAACCTTAAGGATGAAGATTCACCCCCAGCTGTGGGTTGGAATATTCCCTCTCCCCCCTTGTCCTTTTTAAATTTATAGCTTTTCTCAGCTGGAACAGGCTTTAAAGATCATTTATTTTCATTCTTTCTTTCTGGATGAGAAGTTCAGAGAGGCCATGTGCTGTCGCACAACTGCCTGGTGGCTGCGTTAGGCCTAGGTGGCAGAGAATTTCTCCCCACCCCTGGAAGTGTCCAGGGCATTCTTGAACATTCTCCATCCCCCGTTTTCAATGTAGAAACCTCGACTTTGCCTACATTGTGCCCAGTACCCACATCGGGTTGGATCTGCGAACCAAGAGGACCAAGAGGGAGGAGCAAGCTGTGTCCACTGGTGGATCAGCGCTCTGGCTCCACCTAAGGGGACTGGCTACCCCATGCACCTGGTGGCCCTTGCACCCCAACTCGTGTGGAAAGCCCTTCCAGCGACCCTTTGGACTTACGTGATTGTCAGTCCCCTTCCAGAAGTAGAAGGCCCCGATAGCACCGAGGAGCAGCAGCACCGCGCCAGAAATCAGGACCACAGCTCCAGTCTTGAACAGACGCGTAGAGCCGGAGGGTTTCACGGTCACGGTGGCATATGCCTGTGGATCAGGAGAGGGACGTGCCGCCGCCATGCCCCCCCCCCGCCCCCGATCCCTGTGCAGTGTCCCCAGGGAACCTCGAGGACTGCAGTGGGAAGCATGGCCCCAGCACACAGACGCTGCCACCTGGGGGGACCCTTGTCTTTAGGAGTGGAAATAACAGCAGACTTTTCCCTAGGCAGGGCCCTTAGTCCTTCACCCTTTGCTTCACAAGAGGTTCCCTCCACTGGATGTGGATCCTGTGCACCCCGCCACTCTACCCACACAGTGGCTTCCTTGGCCACCACACATTCGATGACACAAAGTCCTTATCCAAGAAGTGAGTCTGGAGTCTGGGTCCCTGTGTGTGGCCTCACTCCACACCAGGACTGGGGACCCAGGGGCTACTCACCGGAGGACTGCAAAACTCAATGTCATCAGGTCCTACCATGGTGATAGGAACTTTGTCCGAGTTCTCTGCCATGGCTGAAGATGGTGAAGTGGGACAATTGGAGGCTCTGTCTCTCTGTCCCAACGACGAATGCCCCTGCACACCAAGCAGCAGCAGCAGCAGCAGCAGCTCTGGCCAGCCCTTGTGTCCCCACCCCTTCTAGCACCACACCTCTCCCCTCCCATCTCCCTCCACCCTGGAGCAGCCTACCCAGCTTGCCCTGCATTCTCAGAAGTGCCCAAGGCCCCAGTAAGGTCCAGATAGGTCTGAGTGTGTAAGGGTGGGTGCGTTCTTTATAGCAGGGATGTCGAGGCTTGGAAACGCCCCCTCCCCCAAATGCTAGCAATTATCCACCCACCCCAAGGCTTTCTTAGCGCATCAGAGGGCTTTGCAGTGACACTGGCTAGAGGTTATGTCTTGAGGGTGCTGTTGGAAGGGGATCGAGGGCAGAGCAGGATGGCACCAGGAGATAGGGGACTTGGCTTAAGAACCAACATTGGGACACCTTTCCCCTGGAGCGGGGGCAGGGCCGTTCCTGGACTCTGCTGAAACCAGAGCGTGGAGCCAAGTCTTGGAGCCGGTCTTTTGCCACTAGGGGAGGGTCTTAAGTTGCAGCAACAGTGAAACCCAAGCGGGAGAAATGGGAAGTGTGGAATGAAATTCCTACAGTTAAGCCAACAACAATTAAACAGCGGCAAACTTCTCCTAGACACTAATGGGATGTGTCTAAAGGGACAGCGATAATGTGTAAGGGGTCACACACATCATTAAGTGAACGGAGAAGATGTTTCACTGTTTGTTGTTGTTGTTGACACCCGCATGTAGCTCAGGATGACTTAGAACTCCGTGTGTAGCTGAAGAAGACCTTAAACTTTGAATTCTCTTGCCACCATCTCCGGAGAGCTGGGATCACAGACACTGGCTAATGCTCCCTGGTTTTGTGCTGGGCATACTTTCCACGGAGGCACATCCCCTGACCCGTTTTTTTTTTTCTCCTCCTCCTACCACTTTGAAGAATGTGTTTTCTGTTGTGGTACCTCATTTGCAGCCAGGATTCCTTAATTCACACTGGGGGTGGGGTGGGTGGGGGAGAAGGTGGGGGTGGTTAGCCATTTTAGAGTTCTCTGCTGAGAGTGAGCGAGGGCTGGTGCCTGGGAGAAAATGAAGTTTCTTGAGTAGAGGGACCATGAATGTGCAAGGCTGCAGCAGGAGAGTGTTTAAGCATCAGGAAAGATGCTGATGTGGGGAAGAGAAGAATGGAAGGAAGAGTCTGCTGTAGCAGAGCTGGCCATACTTGCTGAGTCTTGGGCTGGGGAGACAGTTTCAGACCTACCAGGAGTAGCAGAAACCCGGGGTGGGGGGGGGAGGGGGGAAAGGGAGAAGGGGAGGGGAGGAGTCGGATAGGAGGGGCGGTTTTTAGATTGTTAAGTTTGATGTGAAGCAAAAAGAGTCCAGCAACCAGCCTATGCCACTCTGTCTGCACACCTCTTAGATGTGTGCAACACCCTTGTCTGCACAGCCCACTAATGTGTCAGGGAAGTGCCCGGTGTGGTCCAGCTGGGCTTCTCCTGACCTCTGCTGAGGAAGGGTGAGCAGATGGCTTTTCCCAAGGATACTGTCCCAGGAATTTCAGGGAAACAAAAGAGATGCAACAGAGAAACAGGAGGTGAGTATTGATATAGAAGTGCATACAGTTGAAAGGGAATATTCATAAGATGGATTGGCAGAGTCAAATGCTGAAAAGCATGAGGGCCAAGAAAGGTTTTGGATTTTTGCCATCAGGAGGCAGGGAAAATCAATAGTACAGTAGTTGCATTTGTTTTATTGGGCATGTAACATGTATTACAGGAGGTTATACAGTGGCTAAAAATATGTGCAATAATATCCTAGACAAGGAATGGACTTTTCTCATATAGGGTGGTTCTGGGATTATTAAAAGACCATCTCTAACCACACAATAGGTAGGGACAGATGATTTACGGAGAGAGAAACACAAAGGCTGAGGAATAAGGTGAGTGCCTGGGTACATCCATAAAAACAAATACAGGTTGAAAGTGTGCTTATTGTGGTACCCACATGGATTTGAGTGCAGGGCTGACCATCTGAGCCTGGGCAACCAACCTGTCAGGAGCTTGTCCATAAAGACAACTGAGTCTCCCTCCCCCAGCAGACATCAAATGCCTGTAGCTTTTAAACTACAGGTAGGGCCTTGTGAACCCTAGGGAGGCTGGCTGAGGTAGAGTCTTGGGCCAGCAACCTTGCTGAGAGTTCAGGGGAAATATCCTTGTCATATTCAGAAGATGCCATTTCAGGGCAAGCCTCCCCAGCCTTTGGTTCACAGTCTTTCCACCTCTTCTTCCATGATGCTCTCTCAACACGGGATACGGGACAAACTGTAGGTGTCCTTTGGGGATGTGCTCCCCACAGCCATTTATTCATTGTGTTTCTCTGAGGTAGCCTCTGTCTGCTACAAGAAGACATTTCTTTGATGAGGGCTGAGAGCTGCACTAATCTGTGGGTAAGGATAAGCATTTAGAAGAAGGTTAGGTAAGCATCACTTTAGCAAAATGGAATGGAGGGTCTATGACCTCTCTAGCCACAGGTTCTAAGATACACACACCTGTGCATACATACACATGCAATTGTAGGAAGAGGACGTGAGTTTGAGAGAAGGATGCCGGGGTGGAGGAGGAGTTTGCAGGGGGAAGAAGAGGATGAATACAATAAAACCATGAAATCTAAAAAAAAAAAATTTAAAGTATACTTTTCACCCAACAACCAGCAGTTGTTCAACAAATCTCTTGCATAGTATGAGGGGAAACAAGACCCTCCTATGTCTTGCTGTGGGAAGATGAGATGGTTTGACTTCTGCGGAGAACAATTTGATTTCCAAATGTAAAATGCAATTTCATTCTGTGGATCTTATTCTGCAAAAGTACTCACAAGGGTGGGAAAGCACACATGTGTGAGGCTGCTCACCGCGGCATGTTTGTTAGAACAGATGCCAGAGATATCCTTAATGTCCAGAGAGGAGAAGTGAGGGTACGTCTTCACAGTGGGATCTTGGCAGCTATTTAGAAGAACGAGGCAGCTTTGGATATACTGACATAGGACAACCTCCAAAATATCTTAAGTGAAAAAAGAAAACGCCCAAGAATAGACAATGTGTATAGATGCCTCCATTTGTATAAAAATTCCAATAAGTACATATGCATGTGATGTATGGAGATTAAGGAAGGAGGTGGCCATGGGGACCGCGTCTGGGGAGAGTGTGGGACTAGGGAGACCCGCGGAAGGACAATGGCTCACTGTACATCTTTTGCAATGCTTTAAGTTCTGACCTGGAGGCATGCATTAACTATTGGAGAAATGAGTTAATAAAACAATAAGGGAGTGTGTGGGAGGGGATGAAGGCTGGAAATGGAGCAGTTCTTTTAAGAACTCTAGAACAGAGGACAAGAAGGAAAAGCAGAAGCACACATGAAGGCAGTTAGAGGATAAAGCAACAGCAGTTCGGTCATCCTCGGCTACCCAGTGAACCCAAGGCTAGCCTGGGCTATAAGTAGACTCTGGGAGGAGACAATGGTCCCTCAGCATGCAAGAAGGTGAGTTTGAGGAGAGGGGGATTGGAGGGAGCACATTGGAGACACACTGACATTGAGGAGAGAGTGAGGGTTTGGGGTGGAGAACGACAGAACTTGCTACATTCATGCAACCTGAACTCATGCTCACGAGAACAGCTGTTGGGGATGGAGGGGAGAACATTCTGTTAACATGGCATATATTGGGCCACTTTAAGGCCAAGCACATATTTGTAGACTATGGTTCACGAACAAGAGTAGAGAACAACATGGAAGCAAGACTTGGGGCTCCTGGAGACCTGGGTCAGATAACTACCTCTGCCACAGACTTGCCATCCCGCCAAGCTCATTGTTAGAATCCAACTTTGCCTGCAGCTTGTGTGCTGTGATCAGAATGGGGCCATGCCACTAGCGATGACGTGTGGCTCCTGATTGCAAAAAAAAAAAAAAAAAAAAAAAAAAAAAAAAACCTTACCAAGTGTCAAAAAGATGCTCACCAAGAAGTTAGTCACAAAAGGAGGAGGCCATCGCATGTGGGCTAAATAGTGTGCCATGGACTCTAAGATCATGTGCTATCAAATCGGCACTGGGTGAGGAAAATGAGTAGCAACTAAGGAAGAATTGATGGTGGGAACTGGTGGGGATGGGAGTATCCAGAGATTGCATAGTCTAAGCCCATGAAGTTGCTGAAGCCTTTGATATCTGGAAGAGAAGCCAGCTTCTAGAGAATAGAAGAAAGGACAAGCAGAGATGAGGTGGAAGAGGAGTGACCTCGGCTGACAGGCCTTCTAGATCACGGTAAGTAAGGCTTTAGCTAGTGAAATGGCTGAGTGATTAAAAATACTTGCTGTTCAACATTGAGGACTGGAGTTTGGATCCCAGAACCCACATGAAAGCCAGCTATGGTCACACCCATGCCCATATCCCCGGCACTGAGGAAGGCAGACACATGAGTGGGACTTGCTGGCTGACGGCCTAGCAGTAAAACATAGCTCCAGGTTCAGGGAGAGAGCCTTCCCCAAAGGAACAAGACGGAGCATGATAGAGGAGGTCGCTGTTCCTCTGGTCTGCACACACACATGTGCACCCATACACATACCACACAGAGATACACTTCACACATATGCATACACAGAAATAAAATAAGATTTTCAAAAAGACTTTTCCCTCCAATCCCCTCCTATTTGTGGTAGCTCCGCCCCCATTATTCCTAAACAAATCTAGGAGAGGGTGAGTTGCTCAGCTGGTAAAGCTCTTGTAGTGCAAACCCAGGGACCTGAATTCAACCCCCAGAGCCCATGTAAGAGTGAAAGGAGAGACCTGGCTCCCAAAAGTTGTCCTATAACCTCCACATTCAAGCCATGGCATGCTTGTGCCAGTGCTCACAAGTACATTATTCACCACCCACACACAGTAATAAATAAAACCTTTAATATATTTTTTAAAAATTCCTCTTAG